TGGGCAGGAAGATCCCATATGAGTATACAATGGCTGCACAGATTGCTGCTGGGAAGGATGAGAAGAAGAAGGAGCAGCAGGATGAGAAGGATGATAAGAAGGATGGATGAGAGCATCAGCTGGAAGAATGCCAAATGGCATGTGAGAAGGGTGGATCAGAATGCTATCTCTCAAGAGATGGCATGGGAAAAGAGTGGATCAGAAGATCAGTTTCACCATGGACCAAAAGATATTGAAAAGGAAAAAAGAATAAAACTAATTAAACACATATATATATTGGAATAAATATATTTTTCCTGGGGGGACAGGGGGTTGACTAATAGGGGGGGGTTTCAGCCAAGAAAAAAAATTATTAGAGGGTGGTGACTGTGGAAATTAGTAGTTCAAATTAGTTTATTATTGGGGCCTGAACGCTGGGTAGACTAATAGGGGGGGTTGCCTAATCCTATGTTGGCATTAGTAGAATCCATTGTTTAGAGCCGGTTGTCAGATTGCCTGAGCAGGAAAAAAGGCACGCTGTTTTATCATGTTTTATCATGTTTTATCATTAATGATTGTATGATGATGTATGCTGTATGATGTATGTTTTACAGTACTATATTTTCTTGGTCACACTGGCAGCCACAGCGCCAGCTTTTGGGGATTTGTTCCGGCACTTTGACTGAACATGGGTAGCAGCAACCATTCCCATGGATTCCAAACTCATGCCGCGACGCTCCATGTCCAAAATGATTGCATGACATGCTTGTTTGTCGTCGTGTGCTTTGAATGAGATCCACAGTGATACCGTGTGATACCCAGAGAGTCCCAAGCAACTCTTGCTAGAAGGTCGTTATTGGAGCCGTGATCCAGGGTTTGACAGTGCGAGCAGCATGTCACTTGACCCACCCCAGGCACTCCATGGGAATTATGCACATTGACCCCCCATCACCTCAATGTAGGTAATTAAATTATAGTCGAAATCATCTGATAGAAATCACATGTTCATCACCATGGACCATATCATGGAGTGCCCAGAGCACTGTCAGTCCCCGAGAAAACTCACTCAAAGCCGCCCTCGTCCGCCGATCACTCGTCTTCGTTCCCTCCGCCACCGTCGTTTGGATCAGGCGAGCATGCCTCGGCGCACGAGGGGGATCTGGTCACGGCCCAGCGGAACAACGGAGCACGACAGGCCACGGTCGGTGGTGTTCGGGGTGTTCGGTGGCTTAGCTGGGCGACGGGGAGGTAGCGGGTCTAGCTGGAGAGGTCGAACCATGGGATTACAGACTGTAATTCACCGATGATGCATGGTTGATACATGTCTAAATATACTATTAGGGCAACGAATTCTATTTCTGACATAGTTGCATTCTTCTGTATGGTAATAGCTATATAGTAATCTATGATTCCAGTCCGATGGTTCTGGGTGTTCTTCTGTTTTTTTTTCCCCACTGCGTGGCGAGGGACGAAAGCTTCCAGTCCAGCAGCTTTGCTTCGGTGCCATGTTTGGCAAAGATCCGTTCCGTTCCGAGAAAAAAAAATCCGTTCCGCACTGCGTGGCGTTCAGGGCGTGAAGACCTGGAAAGAAGGGTGGTGATCTTTTCACGGAACGTGCCACGAAACCATGGAAACGGCAGGTCGACCGATCTATAAGACGTCTCGCCCGATCTAAGTGACTCCACTTGACTGAAGCATCATGGAGACCCACTTGACAGTACGTTTTGGCAGACGCTCATATATTGGAAGGTATCACGGTATCACATTGGACAACAGGGCTTTTGGGGTCAATTGGGCGTTTCGGAGACTTTTCGGAGACCGGGTCTGAAGATCGCGCGAGGGTTGTCTTTTTCTCACAGACGCACTAGGTTTTCAAAAGTGTTGGAGTTGAGTGAGGTAGCTTAATTAATGGTGGGTTGTTTCATGCATGCAATCGCCCGAGGGCCATTTCCTCCAGGATCTTTTTCGCAATGGAGATTATAACACTCTCAGGTGCAACTGTGACCCAGCTTGATAAGGAGGGATGGGGCTACATGGTGGAGAGTGGAAAAACAGTTAGGGATCTGAAGAAGCTTCTGGCCGGTCGGGTGGGATACTCAAGATTCCGACAAAGACTCTTGAGTGGAGACATGGGCGAGCTTCAGGATGACCTGCTGCTCAGACAACTACCAAGTGTGCAGTTGGTAGTCCTGGATTTTTGTATGCCTGAGGAGACCATTTGGGAGGATCTACTCCTTGCGTGTGAGAACAATCGAGTTGTTGAAGTTACACAGTTGTTGCAGAAACCACTCGATCCCAATGGCAGCAGGCATTGACCCTCCACCGCTACTTGCAGCAGAACGGGGCCACATGGAAGTGGTACAGTTGTTGCTCGAGGCTGAAGCTGACGCGAATGCGACAGACGCGAATGCAGGAGAAAATAGAACTGCTTTGATGGCTGCAGCTGACAATGGCCACTTGGAAGTGGTCCGGTTTTTACTCGAGGCAGGAGCTGAAACGAATGCGACAGACCAATATGCTGCAACCGCTTTGATGGCTGCAGCTGGCAATGGCCACTTGGAAGTGGTGCAGTCGTTGCTCGAGGCTGGAGCTCACGCCAACACGAGAGACTATCTTGGGACAACCGCTTTGATGGCTGCAGCTGAAAAGGACCACTTGGAAGTGGTGCAGTCGTTGCTCGAGGCGGGGAGCTGACACGAATGCGAGAGACTTTTCTGGGGCAACCGCTTTGAGAAATGCATTGGGCAAGGTCCACTTGGGAGTGTTGCGCTTGTTGCTCGAGGCTGGAGCTGACACGAATGCGACAGACGAAAATGGGGCAACCGCCCGTAAAGCTGCAGCTCGCAATGGCCACTTGGAAGTGGTTCAGTTGTTGTGCTAGACAGTTCGCATCTTCCATGGCAGCTGCTGAACCACAGTCAGTTTGGTGGCGAAAGGGGCTTGTTCTCCTTGTCACAAGAAGAAAAACACTGGCAAATGCCAGAGTTTCGATCGCGTTGCTCGTCTGGTGCCCCTCAGAGGTGTTTCACTTGTGAAGACGGGCACGGTCGACCGCTCATGTGGCGAGTTCACACGCGATCCATGGCGATCCCAAAGGCGACTTGGGCGATCCATCATATATGCTTTCAAGAGATAATAGTCTATGGAAACTTGACTTGAAGCACCACGTGGTTTCATGATTCGAACTATTATGCAAACAGGAACAATCACCCCTCCTTTGTCAAGGTCTAGAAGCTTTGACATCCAAAGAATCCTGTGCCTACCTGAGGCAACACATCACTTCCCCTCAGGCCACCAGACCAGTTTCCACCAGACCTGGGTCTTGTTCTGCCACTCTGCCGCCTCGAGAAAACGCCTGCAGTTTCCAGCCATCCTCTTCCACTCCGCCGCTGACATCGCCGCTCCAGGCGGGGGTCATCACCAAAGTCTTGGGCGGCGACCGCTACGAAATCACCTGGACCGATGGCGAGGACCTCGATCGGCGTCTTGGACCGAGGGCCGCGCCGGGCTTCCGGGGGAAGGGTTGGAAGGGTGGGAAGGAGGCCTAGGAAGGCCACGACCTTTGGAAGGGTGGGAGTTTGGGCATTGATTCGGTGGATTGGAAGGGTGGGATTTGGCTTGGGAGACCAAGTCCTCTGTTGACCAAATGGATCGGTGGAGAAACGGTTTGGAGACCCCTAAGAGTTTCAAGGATCAAGCTTTGCTTCTTTTTAAACCGATATTGGATCAGCACATGCGCGTAGAAACAACATCCCCCAAACCAAGAGGTTAGATCTGGTTAGATGCGCTCGTATACTTCGCTGCTACTGTTGATGGAAGAAATACGGCACCACTCGGCAGAGGACACACCACTTGGCAGAGGACGGTGTTTTAGATATCATGGCCCAGGATTACTTACTCCAACACACTGATGTTATAGCCTTTGTGAAGGTGTGCCACATTCCCAGAGAACAGGATTTTCCTTATAAGATCTTATAAACAATTTGCGGACATCCAACTTGTATCAACTTGTATCCTAGTGCTCGAGTAGGTAGCTGCAATGACTCGGCGATACTCGGCGCATTCTTATCACCATTTATCACCCATTCGTTGCTGGATACTGGTGCCACTCACCAAGCAAAGTTGCAATGGCTTGACTGCGGAGGCTACAAGCCGCCAGACAGTCAAACCTCATGTTCTTCAGTTACTGGACAACCATGGACAACCCCCACCAACAACTGTACTCTGAGCAAGAACAGTTCTGTGTGTGTGTCATGGAATCGACATTTAAGTTTAAACACGAGGCTCGCTGCTCCGACCCAATCGCCTCCGGTTTCGCAAGTAGCTCGCAGCGAGCTGCTGGCAGCGAGCGAGCGAGCGAGCTTGCCTGTCCCAGGAGTCGGCTGCAACATCCCTTTTTTAGGTGGATTGGGGACATCCAACTAGAGACCAAAAACCCAACAGACAAAACACTCACTCAAATGTATTTAACTAACCCAACAGAACCCAATGATGAAGCTTAAAAAAAAAGAAAAAACAGGTGGAAAGGGTCTCGGTCTCGGACTTTCTTCTTTCGTCTCGGTCTCGGACCGGGCCTCCGGTCTCGCTGAGGATCAAGTCCAAGGACGATCTGTCGGTGATTGCCGCTCAGTCGCGGTGTTTTCGCACCGACTGTGTCTGTGATGGACCCAAATCTACCATGGACCACTCAGACTCTGGGTGTCCCAGACTCTCTGGGTAGAGATCCAAACCCGGATGGTCTACGTCTGGTGGTTCTGAGCGCGTCTCGGGTCGCCCCGTCCATCGGTCCCTTGGATCCAAGGTCAGGTCGGTGCGTGTTGGGCGATCGATGAAGAAGAAGATTTCGAAGAGGACCAGATCCAGCACTGATTCCGGGTGCCCATAACCACCCCGAAAAGAGGTGAAGAAGGGACACTCCAATAAAAAAGAACCGACTGGGGGTCCTGGATGGAGCGTGATGTTTGTTTACATCTCTTTAAGATGATCAAAATAGGTGAAGACGATGAACAAGAAAAGTGAAGGAAATCATTCTTGGAGAGCAGCAGAAACCTTGGGTAAGCTAAGATTCATGTATTTGCTTCCTTAGAGGAAGGTCATCAGATAAGGTCACGAGGCTGCGCAGCCACCGTTTGGGGGGCAACCGTTGACTCCACCGTCAACTTCGGTTCCCTCCGAACATTCGGAACCCTCCGGTTCGTACGGCGCGACTACAAGCACCCAGTCAGTGGGACCTCGGGTCGATACCATGGTGAAGACCATGAAGTTGGGGGGAAGCTATGGCTAGAGGCCCGCTATTGGGGGAGGCTGCCCTAGAGACTGAGAGGCGGCTCAAGGGCGTTGCACTTGGCGCTATTTTTTAAAAGCTGTTCTTCGGCCACTTGTCTTGCTGGATATCTCAGGGACCACTTGTAATCGGAAAAGGGCCCAGCGAAAACATGAAGCTGTCAAGTTGTTCCATGATTTGGGATGATATTGGAAGGAGCTTACCCGGCTACTTCGTAGCACAATGTTCCGAAGACAGGATATCACAAGGGCATGCCCCACCTTCTTGGAGGTTCGTGGGCAAACTGTTTGATGTTTACCTCATCATCGTTGTTGTTCAACTCCCGGTAGATGGTATCAACTAAACGGTGTCAAGAATGAAGCCAAATTCCGCATAACCAGCCAATTTGCAGCAGCAGCTGTTTCCGGGTTATCATTGATCGTTCACATTCCCAAGCAAGATATCGATGATTTGCTCTAGGTTGGTACCCTTTGTGATGTGCCAATCAAAGCAAATCATCCCCTGGATAGGTGTGCAGCCATGCTGATTTTTGAGAGAGATTGCTCGGCTCCAGAGGACACACAATCTTGCTAAGTCCACCTGCTCCACTGATACAACCCTAACTTTGGAGAGTGAAAACATGGCGAAAACCATCTACCCTTGACCACACAGGAAAGAGTGCGTACTTTTGAGTGCATTGCATATGCATCACACAGATCTTCCAACTATGCAAATGTTCTGCGTTTGGCAGGCTTTATAGATGAAAAGGCAAACATGTTGCACAGTTGGAAGATCTATGCAGGAGCACCAGCCAAAAGAAACTGAAAGAAAGAACCATCAAGCACTTTTTCTGGTACTTGTTGGTTTCCCCCTTTTGGTCAGACCATCTCTGTTTGGCCGTGCTAGACCAAAGCACCTTAAAGAGACATGAAACAAACAACCACCGACTGTTTCAACCCAGCCAGCCATCGATGTTCGTCGAACCTGTGCCGTCCGTGGTGGGAAACACCGCTCGCTCCAAGGACTGCGCGAAGAACTTCAAGGACGATGGGACCTTTGCCCTCGAGGCGCCAGCGGATCCCTTCCTTCAGGACACCGCACCACCGGTGCAAGGCGCGGGACAAGCAAGCTGGGGTGGGGGGTGGGGGGAAAGGGGCCTGGAGCGACTTGAAGAAGCCGCATGGGTCGGGTGGTGAGAAGGACACGACTGACTGCGTCGAGACGTGGTCGCTCCTTTCGGTGTCGGTGTCAGGGTGGATGGCGAGCCCGGAGAGTTCGGGCTATGTCGAGTTGGAGGCCTTCAAGAAGGGCATGAAAGACTTGGGCCGCTTGGCAACGGCACTCGGCCGGCAGAGTGCCGGTTCGGTGAAGGAGCGGCTTGACGGGGAGCGGAGAGGACCCGCCCGGACAGGAACAGGGTGACTTGACTGCATCGAAGGATGACGCAAACAGCGACCAGAGCTCGGAGCGTCGGAGCTGATCCGGTTCTGTGATTCGGACTCGACCGTGGGACTTACAAACGATCAAGAATTTGTGCTGGACTTCGGGTTTGGTTTGTGGCCCCTGGATTTCTGGGTTGCCCTGACAGGCCTTAATGAAAGATTAAGGCGGATTAAGGCTAAGAGTACTACAAGTCAGACCAACTGCAAAGAGATCTTGCCTGGTAAGCACTGGTGAGTCCACAGATCCAAATCCGTGGGATGCTCCACCTGAAATGTTCGAACGAACTCTGAAGATCCAGCGGCACTTGCACAGGTCTCATCAGATAAAGCATCACATCCCAAGCCAGCATCGTGCTAATAGCCAGCATCTTGCACCACCAGCAGCTGGCGAGCATCGATCTCTCTGAATTCTCTGTTCGTGGAGCCACAGAACGGCGACGCCGGCCGACGGTGGACGGGTGGAGGGCGTCCCCAAACGCGAGTTTCGCCACGCTCGAGAAGGCGTGGACGTGGAAGGAGCTGCGCTGAAGCAGTGGACGGATCAGCTGCTGCAGAAGACCGGCCGTGGTCAGGAGGTCATGATGCGGAGGCGAGGAGCTGTTGCGGGGAAGCTGAAGGGATCTGGGGAAGGGGGTTTCTCCCAGAACGCTCGGGGTCGGGTGGAGCTGGCAGAGATCAGGGTGGAATAAAGAAAACGACTTCATGACCGGGTGGAAGGGGTGTGGAAGATGCTGGAGGTGATCGTTGTGGGAGGAGGCAGACGACTGTGACGCAGAGCGTGGTGTTGTTGTGGAAGACGATCATATTGAGCCTTCAGGTTTTGAGAGCTGTATCTTGAGTCCCGGATCTTCAAATCAAAGCGAACACCTGCACTATTCAGCACTGCTCAACTTCGCTCACAGTAGAGTCGTGATAAGAGTAGATGGCTCAATCCCGATGGAAAAGATCCTATATTATAGCTTATATTGAAGGACGTCTCCGGTTTAACTCTGAAACTACAGTAAATCGCTGATTCAAACATCTCCCAGACGCTCCATGTATGGTATAGTATATGCCGATCAGGCCAGAGGTGGTGCCAGAGGGGTCATGTCAGGGGCGGCAGTCCTATGGCCGTGGAGCGTCTGGGTCTCATAACATCTCCATCTCTCGATCTCTCTCGTGATGGAATGGACCTCGTCGACCGTCTCCGGACGTAACGCGAGGCCTTTCGAGAACTGGAACACGCCCGGCGTTGTTGAGGAATCCCCGGCCCCCAAGCTGTGAACATAGGGAGTCTATGGTGTTTTCACTTGAACCAGAAACATCCAGCAACCAATGAACCAAGCAGGCAGTGGGGACCCCATCCAGATCGGTAAACGTCGAGTTGGCCGGCCTAGACAACAATGGCCGTACAGGACATTACAGGACTAATGAAGCCATTCACAGCATTATTAGCATTTATTAGCCACACAGCTTATGATGGTGACCCTGTTCAAAATGGTTTTATTTTACAGGCAGCACAGCAACGTATTGTATGAGTCCTTTCCAAGCGCCAAAGCATCTTTTTGGGGTTGCTCTATAGCAACCGGATGCATGGCTGAAAAGATCAGAACACCATAGAAAACCAATGAACCAGTGACTGATGGTTTTGTTCAAAAACAGAAGCACCAAC